GTGTACGTGTACACGTGCCGTGTAAAGTGATCGCAAGCAGCCTGGTACGACAGTCCGTCAACACATCGATTGCTCCTTCTGCAGGCCACCACGTAGTCATCCCAATTGGTCGGAATGTCCCCGTCTTCTTGACCTTCCCGCATGGGGACAGCGTTCAAGACGTCTTTGAAGAAGTCTTTGTCCTCACTGATGCGCAACGCGAAATGCGTCCGCAAGGTATTGGGTTTTGGCAAGTCTCTCAGGCCTTGCAGTTAGGAGAGTGTGTTGCTCGCGTGACTTTATCTAACCCTCCAAGAAGGGCCAAGCGAGCTGCAAGCGCCCGGTAGCCACAATCGCCCCCGTAGGTGCCAGGACCAATTGTTTCGAAAGCGTACTTCTCTTTGGCAGCAACAGTCGCTACAGGTGATTGTTTCGGCTGGAGTGGTGGTCGTTGTTGTAGAGGTTGTTGTGGCCTTTGAGTTTCCATGTTTAAAGAATGAGTGTTAATGATCCCCCCCCCGTCGGTGCCCATTTTGTTGTTTCACGGTTTACAGCAAGAGCAGTTCCCGCTGGATGTTTCTTCACAGAGAATTCCCAAATCGCACTCTCGCGCAGGAATAGCTCTCTCGCGTGGTGGTTCATCGCAATTTATTCCGACGCCGCTCCCTCGACGCTCCAGAATCACGTTTTCGCTCTAGCCTTTCTCACGATTTACTTGGGAATCGCGCCAATGCTCGAGACTTCTTCGCGATACATGCAGGACTCACGCTTCAGCAACCCGCCTGCTCGACCTGGCCGCCTGAGACCTGCTTCCCGACCCGCCTGTCAAGTAGGGTATACCCGCCCGGTCTTTCCGTCTGGTTCTGCCACGTCTTTTCTGTTCCTAGCCTTCTCCTGCTAATCTCTCGTGCTCCATCCTTCTCCTTCCCCGTTGTCCCTTCTCTTCCCCTGTTTTAGGGGCTGCGCTACAGAAGTGTGGCAGCTAAAGAAGGTATACCCCCAAGTGGGTGCGTGTTGAAAGGCACCAGGGCGGATATGAGCGAACAGTCTTAAAGTGTTTGTTGCATTCTCACTGCTAAAAAGTAGTGATTGTTGTTCCCCCCGTCCTGTGCACCTTGTGTTTGCAATTGATGAATGTGCTCCTCCCAGGGATCGCACCCAATTCTCTAGAAAGGAAAGTCTTAGGCCTCAAATTGTGATGCTGGCCCCCAGCTTACAACAAGAGCGACCCCCGCCTGATACGTCCTGACAGTGTATTCCTAAATCGCGCTCTCGCGCACGATTTCCTCACAATGTATGCAGGTTGCGCGCTCTCGCATGGGAATTGCTCACAATGTATTCCGACGCCGCGCCCTCGACGCTCCAGAATCACGCTCTCGCTCTAGCCTTTCTCACGATTTACTTGGGAATCGCGCCAATGCTCGAGACTTCTTCGCGATACATGCAGGACTCACGTTTCAGCAATCCGCCTGCTCGACCTGGCCACCTGGGCCCTGCTTCCCCACCCGCCCGTTAGGGTCCACCGGCCCGATCTGCTCGTCTGGTTCTGCCACGTCTTTTCTGTTCCTAGCCCCCTTCCTGCTAATCTCTCTCGTGCTCCATCCTTCTCCCTCCCCCTTGTCCCTTCCTTCCGTACGTCCTCTCTTCCCCTGTTTTAGGGGCTGCACCACATACGCGTGGCAGGTAAGGAAGGTATACCCCCAAGGTGGTGCGATCGAAGACGAAGAGCGCGGGGATCGAAGGTTCGGGGTAAGTATACGTGGTGAACGGCACGCCAGCAGATAAGATCGAACAGTCTTGAAATGTTCGTTGAACATTTTGACTTTGATTGTTGATCACCCACCCTCCGGTGCACCTTGTGTTTTTTCTTCCCGACCCTCCAGTGTTGGGTTCTCGTTTTTTATTGAGCACTGCTTGCTCCGTCCTCGATCCTCTCCCGCTTTATCCTCTTTCCTCTTCCTCCTCTTACGCCTCCCTTCTCTCCTTGGGGGCTGCGACCCGCGCCACTGTCGCTATTTCCGTGGGCTCTTCGGAGATGTAGCGGAGGGGAGGTCCACGCAGATCTGCCGAGACCTCGCGGCTCTTTGCGGGGCTGCGAATCGCGCGTTTGTCGCCATTCTCGTGGGCTCCTGGGAGGTCCAGCGGAGTGGAGGTCCACGCGGATCTGCCGAGACCTCGCGGTTCTTTGCGGGGCTGCGAACCGCGCACTTGGCGCCATCTTCGTGGGCTCCTGAGAAGTCCAGTGGAGTGGAGCTTCACGCGGATCTGCCGAGACCTCGCGGTTCCTTGCGGGGCGCGATCCGCGCCATTGTCACCATTTTCGTGGGCTCCTGGGAGGTTCAGAGGATGTCCACGCGGATCTGCCGGGACCTCGCGGTTTTGCGGGGCTGCGAACCGCGCACTTGGCGCCATTTTCGTGGGCCCCCTGGGAGGTCCAGCGGAGTGGAGGTCCACGCAGATTTGCCGAGACTTCGCGGCTTCCTGCGGGGTTGCGAGTGTCGCTACGAGTCCTGCGGGACGTGGGTGTTGTATTTGTGTTGGTCGAGTTTGTGTTTTCCCAGACCGCCGTCGACGGTTTGGTTGAGTGGGTGCGCCGGGTCGCGGGTAGGTTCTCAAATCTTTCCAGCATTACGTCGTCGGACGTGTCTTGCGGCACCTCAGTCACTGTTTCTTCTGTTGTGATGTTTATAAGGCTGTTCGTTCCAGGGTTGGCGTTGCTTGGTGGTGCTTTCGTTTGCGATTCGGGCGGTCTCCTCCTGCATCGGAGTGGCTTCCCTTTCCCAAGAAGGGCTCTCATGATGTTGGCAATTTGGGTTTTCTTCGCAGTTCAAATCGGATCCATCCGTGGCGTCCAGGTTCAGGCTCTCCTGCCTACTTAGGAAGCGTAAGCACCACCTTTCCATAAACGTTTTTCTCCCAGAACTCGTGGGCAGTGTCCCCGTCTGAGTTTGTTTCAAGCCGAACGTCATGGTTGGTTTGTTCCTTCCCGGACTCTGCAGCCATCTTGACGAGGACAGGCTGGAAGGTTGGGATGGTGGAGTGGTTGCCGTCGCCGCCAGAGTCACAACAAGCATGCACAGCCAGATGTTGTATATCCCTACGGTAGTGTCCCAATACGCCCGCATACCGAAGCAACCATGCAAGCATACATACAACCGTCATCGAAGTGTGTCCCAGATATTTCCAGACTCCCTGTCGTGTAGATTGCCCAGAGTCAGTCGGAGGGGGGATGGGTAGGTGAAGTCCCACCAGCCCTCTGGGCGTCGGTGGTTTAGAGCGTTTCCTCTTCCACCCCTCCTTCTTCCCCTTCGGGGAGGGGTTTACCCCTCCCCCTACCCCCTCCCCACTGACCTGGACAGGGGGGGCCGCGGGTAGTTAGAGCGTCCAAGATCGACTCCTGGGAAGGCTAAAATTCGACACCCCTCACGAGGATCGTGGCTCCTGAGGGGGGGGCTGTAATTAGGGAACCCCCCTTCGTTGATCGATCTCCTCCAAGATTGTTCCAAAAGACGTCTTGGACCCCCTCTTGGGCTCTGCGCGCGGGCGGGCGGAGCGCCGCCCGCCCGCCCGCAAGGCCCAAGAGCCCACCAAAACGTTCGAAGACACTTCCCATACGCCACCAGGGAGGAGGAAGAGGCGGAGGAGGAGGAGGAGGAGGAGGAGGAGAGGGAGGAGGAGGAGAGGAGGAGGAGGAGGAGAAGGCGGAGGAGAAGGAGGAAGAGGGGAGGAGAACAGCTGCCGATCATCGGCGCTCTTCGTTCGAGGGCTTGGTGTAGGATGGGCTGGTGGGGATACTTTTTTTTTACAGCCGCAGGCGGAAGCGCCGGCGGCGAGCAGTCACGGTCGGGCTGCGGCCGCGACTAAATTCCCGGGCGCGCGCGGGGGCCGCGGATCAGGCGGCGGGGGGGGGCAGCAACCCAGGGCGTCTGAGAGGCCAGGCGGTCGTGCAAACTGCAACCCAGGGAGTCTGAGGGGTCAGTCACCCGAGGCGGTCGTGCAAGCTGCAACCCAGGGAGCCTGAGGGGTCAGTCACCCAGGAGCAAGCCAGGCGCGGCCAAAATGGCGCGCCGTACGTTCCCAGTCGTGGTCGTGCCAAGCGACAACCGCGTGGTGGTGGGAACCAAACTCCGTGCGAGATAGTCAGTCCAGGGAGTCTGACGGGTATGAGCAGACCGAAACTGGCTGACGTCGTCCAGCAAGGAGGGGGATTCTGACAAACTGGTGGGGATACGCGAAGCGTCAAGAATTGCCTATGTTGCCTCCTCCCCTCCCACATGACGCTGGCCTGTCCTGGACAGACCACCCGAGAGTCAGGGATCGGGCGCGGACCCGACGTGGACCGTGTCTCCGTTGTCTTTCGTTAATGCTTAGCCGGATGCGCTTGTCGAACAACGCCACGAGGGAAGATGTTTGCGACCGTTGTCCGCGAGCGGTCCCTCCCAGCAGAACAATAGAAATGCAACGCAGCACATGCAGTTTAAAGTTACCCTTGGAATGTGTGATCACTCTTTGGAACCATTGTGGTTCTGTATTTCCCCTCCCAGATTGTGGAACCGTGCATTTTCGTACTCTGACCCCCCCTCTCGTGCGCTGTGGCAAATCAGGAGCAGGATCCATAGCAGGAACAGCCTGCCAGTCTGGCGTCTGGGGGGGCAGCATCAGCATCAGCATCATCATAGTCATCATCATCAGCACCATTATCATCATCATCATCATCAGCAGCATCAGCATCAGCATCAACATCATCATCATCATCAGCATCATCATCATCATCATCGACATCATCAGCACCATCACCATCACCATCACCATCACCATCATCATCATCATCATCATCATCATCATCATCGTCATCATCGTCAGCATCGTCATCGTCATCGTCATCGTCATCATCCTCATCCTCATCCTCATCAGCAGCATCAGCATCACCATCACCATCACCATCATCACCATCACCATCATCACCATCGGCACCGGTATCGCAATCAGCTTCCCCGTCCGCCCCCGCCGCCCGCCGCCAGCCTGGGCAGCGCGGCTGCCCTGCAAAGTGCCAGGAGGAGCGGGTCGGCCCGCCCGTTGGCCGGCCGCCGCGTCGGCCGCCGCCCCCCCAGGGCGCCGAGGCGAGGAGGAGGAGGAGGAGGAGGAGGAGGAAGAAACGGAGGAGGAGGAGGAGGAGGAGGAGGAGGAGGAGGAGGAGTAGGCCGTAGCCATTTTGGCTCAAGGGGCCTTCTCCTGAACTTCCAACCTCGCTCGAGCAGTTGAGGCGTGTGAAAAAAAGAGATACCTTGAGACTCTCTGGCCAGGGGCTCGCGACCCCAGCCCAATTCCTCCACGATTACTCTCCCCCCGCGGCAGCGATGGGGAAACAGCAGCAGCAGAAAGGTTACCAGCTTTGCCCGCATGCTTCTTGTGGCTATCGCTGGAATTGGAAGAAGCATTCGCAGTGTTGGCAGTGTGGGAAAGCTATCGGGCCCGCAGCCAATGATTGGCCCAAACCAGCCTCGGGAGCCTGGGCCTACGGCCCACCTCGCGCCCGCACGCCAGGCGGGAGCCCCTTCACCATGGCGGGCAACATGGCTGCCGCTGGTGCGCCACCAGGCGTCTGGCAGACAGGAGGTGCCACGCTTCCAGCCACTTCGCCGTTCGCGCCCACCACGGAGCAGCTGCTGGAGGCACTCAAGCAGCGACATCCAGAAGCAGGAGCCGAACTTCAAGCTTTTGAAGCCAAGGCAGCTCCCCCAGTGCAGCAGGTGGACAAACCCAAGTTACGGCCAGAACTCCAGCGAGAGCAAGAACTCAATCAAGCTGGGGTTCAAGCACGCAAGACAGCGGAAGCTCTTGATCGTGCAATCCGGTATGAAGCAGAATGCCGTGAATACCTTGCCAAAGCTGAAGCGGACACACGTGACAAAGCCAGAGTTGCAACAGAGGCGGCAGCTCGACACCAAGCTCTTCTTCAGGCAAATGTCGACCCCAAGGTGCTGCAGCAGACCTCCCCCATCAACCTGTCCAAGTTGCTCAGCGCCACGGAGGAGACCGAGTTCCTGGACATTCTCAAGTTCGAGGACGGCACCAGCTTTGACACGTCGGAGTTGGAATTATCGCCAGAAGAATTGCAGCAATGGAAAGAACATAAAGAATCATTGGCAAAAGAAGTATCCAAACTTATTTGCGCCGCGGTGGGACCCTCGGCTAAGACGCTCTTGGAAAGAAAGCAACAGTTTGAAGAATACAAGTCAAGGATGGCACACAAAAGGCGACGTACCAATGAAGGTGGAGCACGAGCTGGTGGCAGAGGTGATGCTGAATCACAAGAAGCTGGAGGTACTGCAGCAGCGGAACCCAGGGGTGAGGCGACTTCTTCGGGTCCGAGTGCAGCAACACCTTCGGAGACGCAAGATGCTACCAATCCATCAGCCACGGCACCGTCTCAGCCACATGTCTCTGATGAACAAATCCAGGCCACCCTCGACGCGGCAAAGCAGAAGTTCGCGCAGTCTCGGGCATCCCCAACGAGTCTTTAGCCAAGGACGTGTACCACATGCTCGGCAACGCGGCGCCGGGCAGAAGTTCCTTTTCTACTTCGCCAACTACACCAAGTGGAATGAGCGTGCCATGGCCTATTTAGCGGCAGAGCATATGCAAGATGTTTTGCTCCACATGGGTGCCGAAACTCATCTGAGAGGAGGGGCGCTGTTGCAGGCGCAGAAGAAACTCAAGCGAGCGGGGTGGTTGTCCACCTCGGCCCCAGCTGTTCCCACGGCCAAAGAAGGGACGCTTGGGCACGGCGGGGTCTGGGTCCTCTCGAGGACCACCATCCACTCCCAGGTCCTTTACCCCTGTAAGATCGGCCCTGATGGTAAAGAACAGTTTTTCGGCACGCAGTGGGTAGGCAGGACAGTCAGGTTTAAAGGACTGGATGTGACCTTTGTTTCAGCTTATTTGAATGACTCCGAGGGGGCTGTCGGCACCAACGGCCTCATCCTAGAAGAGCTAGCTGGTTATTTACTCTCTGTGGCTAAGCACTACATAGTCATGGCGGACTGGAACATGACACCTGAGGAGCTCTGGGAGTCTGGGTGGCCTTCGTTTGTTCGGGGACACATCGCTGTACCACCTGGCGAATTTACAAATTCTGGAGGCACTGGAAGAACCCTGGACTTTGGAGTGGTCTCGGAACATCTTGCCTCCCTGGTCAAGCTCTCTCTGGACCAGAAGGGACCTTGGGCGCCACATCTGGGAATTTTTGGTGAGTTGGATCGGACTCAGAACATCCTGGAAGCTCGCATCCTGGTACCTGTTACCCCAATCATACCGTACGTATATGGACCCGATCAGCCCTGGGAGACGTTTCAGCAGCAGGATGACGGCATCGAGATGCCGCAGCATTATCATTTTTGGCCTGAGGCTACCTCAGACGACCTTACCAGGTTGTACGCGAGCTTCTCCATGCAGGCAGAGGCCTTCCTGCTGAATCGAGCGGGAAGAGAAGTAGGACCTCACAGGAGAGGTATGTGCCCTGAGGTTAAAGTTCAAAACCTGACAGCTGCAAAACCGCCTGGACATTTTGGACGATCTCATGAACTGTGTTTCTTGGGAGGTATTCGGTCCAGGTTCCAGGAGCTATTTACGTTGGCTGATAAGAGCACCAGCGCTACAGTACAGAATCACCGCATGGCTATACACAAACAGATTGAAGCATGGAATACCGAGGCACAGGTAGCACAATACTTTACAGCAGTCCCAGAATCGGCTAGGAATGCAGGCGACAAGATCAGTGCCGCCTTGATATCGCCTCCCTCGACCAAGGAGGACATCCGCGAAGTTTTAAATGCAGCGAAAGAAGTTCTTGCTAAGGTCTCCATCGTGGCCATGAAAGAAAGCACAGCAGGATTTCGGAAGTTTCTTAGTACCAGCTTGTCCTCGGGAGCTAGTTGGGCCCATCAGTTTTCCAGGACGTGGCAGGTGGAGGAGCCAAGCCTAAACATCGAGAAGGACGAAGGAGGAAAGGAGGTAATTGAACCAATTGAGATGATGAAGGTGAAGGCGGAAAGGTGGTCGAGACTCTGGGGAGGAACGATTGGAGGACCTAAGCAACCTTTTCCTTTTTGGCTTCAGCGTCTTCGTGAAGCCGCTCATGCGCAGCAGGAAGAGCGACCTTTGCCAGATCTCACGGTTGCAGACCTGCGGCATGGCATGCGATATTTTAAGGACCATGCAGGCCTTGGAGCCGACCCGTGGAACCCTAGACAGTGGCTGACACTACCAGAGCAGGGCCAAGAGCATTTGTTGGAATTTTTCGTTGCGGTGGAGTCCCAACTGAAATGGCCAGTGCAAACCTTGATCAACGTCGTCGCCCTCACCCCGAAACCGCCGCCAGGAGGAGATCGACCGATTACGTTGACCCCAGGGCCCTATCGTTTATGGAGTGTGATGCGCAAGCAAGCAATAATTACTTGGGAACGCAGCAAAGCGGGCTTCTGGGATTCAGCGGTAAAAGGAAGCAGTCCTTTACGAGCAGCGGTTTTAAGGCAACTTAAAGCAGAAACGTGTGGACTTTTGAATATTAGTTGGGTCCAGCTTCTGTGGGACGCAGAGAAGTTTTATGACCTTATCCAGGGCGAGCAACTGGCAGTCTTAGCTGGAAATCTGGACTACCCTCTTTTGCCCTTTTACCTTGCCATGCTGCAGCACATGGCTGATAGGTGGCTCACGGTTGGCACTATGCTTTCGGACAGCATCCAGGTCAACCATTCTATCATCGCAGGGTGCATGCAAAGCGTAGCCTGGTCCAGAATATATCTGTGGGACATGTTAGACAATATTCATCGATCGCACCCTCCTCCCCAAAATTCCATCGGCAGCTGGGTCGACGACTTGGCGCAACTCAACATAGGCACGGCAGAAGGAGTAGTGGACCAGGCTACGCAAGTGGCCATCCAGCTCACGACGGGCATGTACAGCAAAGGATTGCGAATTTCAAAGAAATCAGTTGGCCTGGCGAGTTCTCCGTCAGTGCGTGCGGCATTGCGGAAGCGTATCAAGGAGTTGCAGTTACCTATTAAAGTGGAACTCTCGGCGCGTGATCTCGGAGTGGACGTAGCTACTGCCTCCAGGACGCAAGGGACCATCAAAAGTAGGCACAAGAAGGGAGCCAAACGAGCTGTTGCGATTCGAGTCCTGGGCAAAAGCGTGAAGGCGGCCAAAAAGCTAGCCAACACTGGCTACAAGCCGCAGGTTTCCTGGGGAGCCGTTGCCATGGGCTTAGCGCCCACGAATCTCAAGAAGCTTCGGGCGAAAGTCTCTGCCATGTGCGGTAGTAAGTGGGCAGGCGGTTGTGCCACCACTGCCATTAGGATTAGTCTTGGGAAACGCAGTGACCCCCTTTTTTGGGGACCTCTTGAACTTTTGCAGGCCTGGCAGGAACATCTCCCTAGGATCCCCGAGTGGCGTGCCGCCATCGACAAAGCCTGGGACGAGTCCTTGGCCAAGCTGAGGGAGTCGGACCATCGCTGGCTGCAGGTCAAGGGGCACATGGCGGCAGTGCAAGCCACCCTTTTAGATATGAATTGGAACCCCAACACGCCAGGGGAATGGACCATTCCTTGTGGGCTCAGGTTTAGCTTTGAAGGAGCTGAGGGCCTCGACAGGCTCGATTTTGAAGTAGGATCTTCCCTGGAACAGAGTATTTGGGCCCAAGCCAGCCAGCACTTCTCGGGCTCGGGGGTTGAGTACGGGGTGGACTTAACTGTGACTTGGGCCCATCTGAAGTTTTTGCGCAATAAAGGTTTAAGCCATAGGGTTGCCATTTTGGAGATGGTTTCCCAAGGGGCCTTGTGGCCCAACCAGCGACGTTTCCAGAACACAGGAATAGGCAGCACGGTCTGTCCTAGATGCGGCGCACTCAATGAAACGTTATATCATCAGCTTTGGGAATGCCCCTTCAATAGAGACATTCCCGAATTAGAAGAAGACAACCGCCTCTGCGAGCAAGCCAAGATAGGGGCTGAAACGTACCCATGCTTCTGGCTCCGAGGCCTTGTTCCGATTTTGTGGA